TAATTTTGACTTAATCTTTTCTATTGGGAATTGTGCATAATTATCTAAAATAAACTGGCCCTGTGAAAACGTTTGGTCTAATGTCTGTAAAATTGCTTTGAAATCATCTGTTCCAAACTAATGCTGTTCTTCTCCATTTATGTTTTAGTAATAAATTATTATGAGTGCAGTTTGCTGATTTACATTAGCCTATGTAAGTTCTTTTGCAAAAAATTCTTTTGCTTCAAGTGATTGAAGATGATCCAGAGACAGGCTGCTTTTTTGTTGGAAGGGGAGGAATTCCAAATTCTAAAGGTGTGCTGGAGTGTGACGCAGCAGTAATGGTGGGAGATAAATGCCGTTTTGGTGCAGTTGCTGCTTTGCAAGGGTGAGATTACATGCATTTGATCATTATGATACAGATTTGAATGGTCTGGTTTAGTACAGTTGAACCTCCTGGTGGTTGAGGTGGTCGCATGCAACTGGAGGCTCCAGGTGCATGCGACCACCTTGACCACCAGTTTTCCAAAATATGAAAAGTTTCCAAGTCAAATCACTATTATTTGGAACCTCTTGTGAGTGACCATCTCTTGTCAGTGACATTTTGGGTAATCACTTATGGGAGGTTCGACTGTATGAATTGTACAATCAAGGAAATTGTGGAAATTTGTTCATTTTGGGCTGCAGGATGAAGGGAGGTTTGGGCAACATGACCAAAACTCTAAACCTGCGTGTGTGACTTAGTTACAATGTACACTCTCACTTCAGAGTCTTGTAGAACCATGCTCCCATAACGGCATGCTTCCTACTTTACATTCATCTGTTTTTAATTTTCTTTAGAGTTGCGATGCCTCTCTCAGTTGCTAGATGTGTGATGGAGAAATCACCCCATAGCATGCTAGTGGGTGAAGGTGCACAGGAATTTGCCTCTAGGAATGGGTTCCCTGTGGAATCAAATTCATTGTTACAGACCAAGACGTCAAGAGAAGCATTTGAGGTGAGATAGTATTTTGTGAATATTTTGTTCATATAAATAATGCATAATTTAACTGTAATGTTTCGTGATTACCGGTACTTTAAAAATGTGCTGCTAACTATTCCACACTAGCAGCTAGGCTGTGCCCTGCATTGACAAGCTCAATTTTTCTTTCAAACAATTTTAAAAAAAAAAGAAAAAAGAATGGCAGAAGTCTTGAGAAAACTGCATGACATTTTTACTTCCTCAATATTGTGATCCATACAGATGTCCCCCCTAGTGTGTGCCAACTTTAAGTCAAATACAGCCTCTGTTCAGGATGAGCCATAATTTGTCGGAACTTTCCTGTTTTAGTAGAAGTTCCTTGTGAAGTCAGTCGAAGTCGAAGCAGGCAGCCACGACACAATAGGTAAAGACAAGCTATTTCATGACAATCAGACAAACCTTTTTTCAGCTGATGATTAAGAAACAGAAAACATGTACCGTGTTTTTATCAAGTTATAGAAACACGAGTGAAATTTTGGGAGAACGAGAAATGTTGTGGGAACAGAAGCCACAGGCGAGTGTTTCCACAGCTTTTTTGAGTTCTCCCAAACTTTCACGAGTGTTTCTATAACTCGATAGAAACACGGAGAACATGTTTTCTATTTCTTTTAGGAAACACCGCGGCGAAAAAATGGAAAACAACTTGTTAACTTTGATTATCAAAATGTAAATTCTCTTTGCTCATGCCACCATTACGTCAATAGCTCATGCTAGTTCTGTGTTTCTATCAAGTTATAGAAACACGATTTTTAACCAAGCAGCACGCGTATTTTCATAGAACTGTTTTCTAAAGGTGAATAGAAGCCACAGAATATTAAAAAAAGCTAGTTTACATGTACATTTCTTAAACAAACAATCAACAAATAATTTTTGATATGTAAAATGTATGAATTTTTCTTCTGATTAGCTCACTAAAATTCGTTGTCCATTTTAAAATTCTAAAATCCTTTGTTCATTTTGCTCTCTTATAGGCATTATAGTGCTGGACTCCAAAAGACACATGGCTGCAGGTAATTATTGCCATCATGCGCACCTCTCAGGGGAAGGGGGGATAGCAATTGTTCCCTAGATCCTTGAAAATTTCACCTTTCGCTCCCAGCTGTTTCCCTCATAGATGAATTTCATTGTTCCCTAAAGTTCCCTTAAGTTTAACAGTTAAGATATTCCTTGTTCTCTTGGAATAAATAATCATGTTCCCTTGTTCCCCCTAACCCCTGGGAGGCCTCCAGAACCCCTGGGAGGCCCTCACACATTTTCCTTGCACACAAGCCTGTGGATTACTGTGATCACAATGATAATAATTATTTTGAAAGAGGTTTACACAATACGTGAAGTGTTCATTTTAAGATCCCACGAAATCAACAAACCTTATAAATTTTATATTATATTGTTGCACCCTCAGGTGTTTCAACAAGTGGGTGTTCCTTCAAACATCCTGGCCGAGTCGGAGACTCACCCCTTCCTGGGTCAGGATTGTATGCTGATGATGAGGTACTAGAAAGTCTTATTTGCAATATTTACGACATTATCATCATCATCATCTTCCTGCCACAATGCCCTTTGCATGCATTTGTGTGCCTATCATCCCTTGTTGGCTTGCAATGCATAAAAATGGTTATGGCTAGTTATAGTGTACTTAAGGTGAATGTATTGCAGGCAGATATAGTATACAACGTAAAGTATTAATTAACAGTACTTAGCCAAATAATCAATAACTATAAACTTATTAAAAAGGCAACATAAATTTTTAGATCATAGTTAATGTTTATACGACTTAATCTGTGAGCCAGTTCTCATTGAAGTGCAGCAGCTCTAAACTTGTTGATCGGTTGATAAAATGTAAAAAAAAAGACTACGAGAAAGATGTCTAAGAGTGGATGAAATTTGATAGTAGGGGTAGTGGAGACTAATAAATGTATATTTTAATACTTTTATTTCTCTTTGTTTTGCAGATTGGTGCTGCAGCAGGTTTGTTCCCAAAGTTCTACTATGTTTAGCATACTTGAATGAATGTCGGAGATACAGTTGCACTACATGTAAGAGCAGGTGTTTAAAGATGGGAGTGAGACTATCTTGTAAAAGAACAGTGAAGATTTTTTGAGTCTGAACATAACTTGTGTATTCTTGGACAAGAATGTGACAAAATCCTTAGGCTCCATCAATGGAGCCTAATGAAGTTAGACAAAGTGTTTAAAATAAAATGTACCTTTCACGTACAAAAGATCAAGTTACTGTACTGTTAGATACATGTATCGCCCAAGTGTGAAGTGTTATGAATTGATCATAAATCACTTGGGCGAGAAACATGATCACAATCTTAGAAAATGGGCCCAAACAACAAGGTCAAAAAGATTTTTTTTTTTTGCTATCATCAAGAAAGAAGAACATTTCAAGTGAAGTGCACAGTCTGAGTGTAACAGAGAATTTATGGCCTGTAAAATTAACCGATCACATTGTATTTACATGTATGTGAAAATGTATATTTAATTTATCATAAAATATCAATGTTAACGTTATTACTAAGAGTGATGGGTAGTAGAAATCCTGGCACTCTTTATGCTGGGGAGAAACTGGACAGTGATAGACTAGTCAGAACAATTCATGCAATATTATGAATACAGTTCTGATCTGAAAATTAAGACAGTAATGAAACTTGTAAAAATGTATTATTATTATTATTATTATTATTATTATTATTCGAATAAGAAGCGATTTTTGTAAACATTTAACTATAAAAAAATTGCGATAAAATATTTCTAAGCATATTGCATAAAAATTTTGTTAAAAAACAACGTTTCGACTTTGAGCTGTCATTATGAAGTCAAAATGATAGTTGATAAAAAATGTATAAATAGTCAGTAAAACAATAGTTCAATGGATGTGTAAAAATGTTTAAAATTAAACAAAGAGTGCCAAGGGAAATTTGATTGCCTCGTCTATGAGATGCTTTGCATAAAGGAACTGAATCCAAGCTTGAACATGCAAACTGACTCCATCCGTACGAAACTCTTTGTTTAATTTGTTTAGTTTGACGTTGTAACGTCGTCGTTTTTTGACAAAATTTTTAACTTTCTCAATATGCTTAGAAATATTTTATTGCAATTTTTTATAGTTAAATTATTATTATTTTTATTATTATTATTATTATTATTATTATTAAGTGGTTGACAGTTTGACATTTTGATTGACAGCTACTGGAGATGGAGACAAAATGATGAGGTTTTGCCCTGCTTTTCATGCAGTCCAACTCATGAAAGAGGTTTGTTTTGTACACATATTCATGAATGCATGATAAATAGGAAGACAGTATTGTACAACTTGGTAACATGATGAAACAATGAATTGAATGAATACTGTCAGTAACTCAGTCACTGATTTCACCTTTTATTATTCAGGGTTATTCTCCCCAAGAGTCGTGCGAGTTGGTTGTAAAAGAAGCACAGCGAAAAGCAGGAATGACCTCAAAACCATTTGAAATGGCCTTGATTGCCATCAACAAAAAGGTGATTTTATAAACATGTTTTGATGTCAAGTTCCTTGAATTCCTTCATTTATAACTGCTGTCATGAAAACTACCTGTAGCAAGTGCATAATTATAAATGAACACAAATACATCCCATGCTGAGGAAGACTACAAGTATGTCATATTTTACATAACTCATGGTTAGTTAGACAAGTGAATAGACACAAAAGCCACCTTGCACAAAGAAAGTTTTTTTTTTTTTATTATTGCACACAGTAACATTTTCTTGGCAGTGACTATGAACTTCAAAAATTTGCAAAGTCTGATTTGATCAGAAAAAATTTAGCTGCAGAAAAAAATCAGCTCAAACCTGACTTTTCTTTGGCTGTATTTTCACAACTGTTTCACGCAGCTGTAACTGATATGCTCATTGATGACTATAATTTTTTCTTGTCCCCAAACCCCTGATAAATCAGAGTTCATGTAACACCATGCAAGTGTAACACAATAACTTCCAAGTCAGAGGAATGTGTGAGAAAATTATACTGCACAAAACTCTCTGAAAGGGAAATGTTTAATGAGCTCACAGAGAGAGGAAACTACAATTCACTACAAGACTAATTTTATCTAGTTTTAGGTAAAGATTTGACTGTAAATGTGTTTTTTTTTTTGTCAGGGTGATTTTGGGGCAGCTGGCACTGTTCCGTTTTTTGAAGATCAAAAACTGAAAACTTCATATTCTGGATTTCCATTTGTTGTCTGGACTGAAGAAATGACAGCACCAGAAATCAGAGTCCAACCCCCTGTCTGCTGGTAATCCAGTATTTTTTAGAGTACAGGACTCTCACATAGACTGTGAGCAACCATTCATTTTATTTTTTTAACTCCTTCAAGCACAACACAAAAGAAAGTGCACCAGGCTGGGAAGAGAAAAAGGAGTTGCTGGTCGAACTGCACATTGGACATGTCATATCGATAAATGTGACAATGTTTTGATTTAGGAATGTCTCTATGTTTGTAGGTTGTTGGGAGCTAAGATTGCTCCAACCTGGAGTATATCCTAATATGTTGTTATTTATGCAATCATCCCACAAGAGTGAAAACATTATGAAATAAATTTAATTTTATTATTTATCTTTTTTTCACATTCTGCCAAATAATGACGTACATTCAGTCAGGAGAAACAACAGTCTTGTGGTTGTATGAATGCTTCAATCTGCAGTGTATAAATTATACACTTTGCAATTATAAATTACATGACTTTTTGTATTGCATTTTTCTCACTTTGTACCATCTTTTTACTCACGGTAAAAAAATACACTCCGTGAAATAAAATAAATTTGTGTGCACAACTTGCATATGCTTAAGATACAGTAAAATATGTACAGTTGTCACATGGTGTGTATATACATACAACCCTAAAATTTATCAGAGTCGTATTTTTGATGCCAGATCTTTTCTAATGGTATCAACTTCCTTCTTCTCCTTTTCATGTCTCAGTCTTAAGATCTCCAATACTGTGATCTCCTCCTGGTTGTCATCAGCTCGTGAGTCCCTGTATCGTCCAGATCCTGGGCTGCCTCTTCTCCTACTTGCCATTTGCTTCGGTTTAGGAACATTCTTGGCATAGTTTAAAGCCTGCAAAAATAAACCAGAAAAAAATTCACAAATCAGATTGGCTGTCAACAAGCCTGATTTTAGCCCAAATCTGACAGTGTACTATATGTTTCATGCTTGTAATTGGACAGTAGGTGACAATTTGTGTGCACTCTTCCTTGGACAGATGTACTGAATAAGATTGTTTTCCCAGTGTACTTAGTCATAACACACTCAACTGTTGAAGCTTTTGATTGTTATCAAGATGTTTAACCGATGACTATGGTAATCAAATTCTGTTACAGTTTTGATTAATTGGTAACTGAACTTTGTGTTGTCCAAGTCTGTTTGTAATCAGAATTGATTGAAGTGACAAGCAAATCAGACTCCGCTATGCGGTTGTCCCATTTTGTTAATCAGTTGTTTGATTACAGACCAAATTGGACTCCACTTTGTCACATTTCTATTATGANATCCCGGATCATTTTGAATTTGACTGCCATTTCCACTGGAATTAACACTTTGATCTAAATCACTGTTGATGTCTTCTAAAAGTTCTGATTGATTCCCCAGGCTTGAATCTGAACCAGATGCAAAGCCTGGAGACTTTCCTCCTTCCTCTCTACTTCTACTTTTCTCGTCTAGTTTATTGTCGAGTTTATTTTTTGTCTTGGTTGCATGCATTCGAGCATAGCTAGTTTTCGCAGGCAATCGCTTCCCAACATTTTCTTTATTCCTTTCGATTATGTGCTGAGGACGCCGAGGCTTTAGAGCTTTCTCGAGTTTTCTAGTATTTGATTCATTAGTCTTTTGCGCTGGTGTTGAAGTCTTTGGAAAATCCAAAACTTGTTCTGTTAACTCCGAAGGATTGCTTGGCTCATCGGTTGTATTAACTCGATCAAGAACTCCAAATTCTTGTAACTTCGCTGACTCGAGAGAATCATTTAAGGAAAACTCCAAACTATCCTGTACCGTCTCTGAATCTGGTTCCCGTTCGTTTGTATCGACCATAGTGTCGTGAATTGCATCTTCGTTCAACGATTCTCTGTCCAATATGGCGGCCAAGACAGCAGGCGGCGCAAATGTGGTTATTTTCCCGTCCACACTGTCAATATTTTGTTTCTCCTCCTGCTTTTCCATTCACTGGATAATGAATATAAGTCACGGTTCCTTACTGTTCGGTAATAAGTTATATATATTGCACCTCGGACAGAAAAGTAAATGTCATCTTGTGTTCTCTTATTAAACGAACACAACTGACGCATTGACTACCCATAATGCATCACTTGTTGCCATGGCCATGCAACTGTGGTTTAGCGGTAGGGTGGGTGGGTAGGTGGGCGGGGGCGGAATGACACCACAAAATGTTCACGCAGTGGAGAGAAGCGGGGATGCTCGTCGCGTCCTCTCGCCTACAGGGTATCTAGGAAGGAAAGCCAATATTTTTAGCCGTCAAGGTTTCGTTTAGGGTTACGCTCAAAGAAATCACCGCCACACAAAAATGGTGGCCGAGACCGAAGATGTTATCTTGATCTATAGGCCAAGAAAGATTGGTCTTCTTTTGAGGGCTAATTCACATTTTCCGACGACCGTCCCGGACCGTTTCACATGGGAGTCCGTCTCGGGAACTTTGTACCGTCCTACAGCGGGGTTACTAAGGCTTGCAGTACAAAAACTACTTCAAATCTGGAACCATTGCGTATGTCTCTGTGTGAGGTTCTGATTGTTTCTGGTCACTCGACCGTAAAAAATAGCCCTGACAATCGAGAAAAAACTGTGCGAGGAAGCGTACGCATGCTTAAGAGGAAGAATATTAATGGGGGTTAGGTCTTTCCCGCGGTCTGGATCTGCCAGCCAACCTTAAGGTCTTTCACTTTGAGGAGACGCCGAAACGTTTACATCTTCTTACAAGTCTGGCAGTCTTCTCTAAAATTCGATTAAAAGAGAAAACCAACAAGGCACAGCTCTTCTGCAGTATTTTTAATATTACAATTTAAAATTATTTCTTGGGCAGTACCAGGCTGCTTCTTGCATAGATGCTAGATGTGCTACTAGCGTGAGCACTACATTCGGTCACGCAAGTAACGGAAAATGAGACGACTACAACAGAACCAAGCAAAAGTAACCGTTCTTCAATAGTCAGGCATTCTCATTTTCAGAGCCCTCGGATACACAAGCCAGTGGTCAAACTCGAGTCCAGGGTCCCCGGCTTCCCAGTCAACGGTCGGAACTGAATGCTCCAAGCAGCAAAGGTCAGTGTCAGCTTTGCTGAGCTTCTTCATATCCNGAGAATTGTAACATATCTATGTATACCGCAATAAGAAATATGAGAGCATGAGAGACAGGGAACGTTCTAGGTCACTGTTCGGTCTCAAACAGCTTTCAGGAATTCTGCGAGACGAGCGCTCAAGTGTTGTAGAGTGGTTGTAGTTTCTAGACATTCGACTGTTCCCCTAATCTTAGAGCAGTCTCTCTATTGCTCAAAGAGTCCAATAATGCTAAGCGAATTGAAGGTCGACTAGCAAAAACAGAGGAATCGAGCACGATATTCGAGAGGCAAGGCAATATCGTGCTCCGCGTCCTTTCCCGCGGATTTAAAAGCAACAGGAAGACTACTCGCGGTCTAAATATAACTAAATTTCGATCGAGACTCCAATTCAGTGGCAAATCTTCGCAAAATCTCTCCCATATCAACATTGCACTTGGCGCAAGTTTTGGTCTTCTCTCAAAATGGTAGATGCAAATAGTGCAAATTTTCTACAATCGAAGATTTCATAAGGAAGATTTTCTTGGTGGAAGAGAAACCACAATCATTTGCTCACGTGATCTTTCATATTACTCAACAGGCCCTCCAAAGTTGTGAACCGTCCTCCCAGTGTGCCGGCGGTGCATGTGAAATCCAACGAAGGAAGGATAACTTCACAAGTTTCCGACTGCAAGAAAAACATTACAAAAATATCAAGCAAAAGTATAGACTAGACTTCGCTTAGTCAGTTGTGGGTGACGCGAAAGAAAACTGCAACAACAAAATGGCCGCGCGAAATCCTGGCACGCTCCCCGCTCCCAGGATTTCGCGCGGCCATTTTTTCCTCGCGGTTTTTTGTTTTTGCGTCTCGCACGACGGACTAAGCTCAGTGGCGGGTCAAGACCTTGAGCTAAGGGGGAGGGGGGAGGGGGCGGTTGTGTTTACTTGCCCTGCCGGCTTTTCTTTCTTCTGTCATTTCTTCTTTTTTTACCCAAAATAAGCGAGGGGGGGGGCGGCCCCCCCCCCGGGCCCCTCTCCTAGATCCGCCACTTAAGCTCGTAGTCTTTTGCTACTCGTAGTCTAGCAAAAGTAGGGACCCTAATGCCTTTTTCACGCTGGTATGTTTAAGTAGCCTGTGTAAACCGGGATAGGTCAAGGCATGATTTTATCTTCTCGAAAATCAAGTTTAAATAGGCGTGTCGTAATGAACCGCGCACGCACCTTCAACACATCCCTGTTTAGGTCAACAGGATCTGTTATTCTAAGAGTAATTCTTGTTCCCTTTGCTTCTATTCCACCTGAAGGAAGACGCAAAAGAATATCTTCAGCAAGACCAGTTTCATCTTTTCATTACAGCTGAAACGAAAAAACTATAGAAGAGTACCAATTGACTAACGGCAAGAAAGGGTAAAGAGGGGGTAGGGGGAGGGGAAATTAACTCTCTTGCTCTTCAACCCTCAACCCCTCCTACTACCGGTAAGGTCGTACACGCCTCGCAAAAATGATCACATGCAAAAGACTGGCACCATTACGTTAAATTACGCACGAAAAAAAATGAGACGCCGCGTCAAACGAAAGGCGCGTGGAAAGTTCCGCCAAAACTGGGCCCATCGAGGAAACTTGTCCCGTGAATTGGTAAATTATTCAAGAACAACTTACCGCCCGACTTGACTTCATTTGTCCTCTCGCCGCAAGCATCACAGTTTGTTGCCATGACAATCACTTCTTTAAAGTGCGGAATGGCTGACGTGTAGGTTAAGGGTGATTTACACAAACTTGGAATAAATTCTGTATTTCAGTAAAGAGCTCTGCACTAAATAAGGATTCCCTTCAATCCTCTTGGCCCGATCTCTCGCGCCATCTCGCCCCTAACCCCAGCGAAGAATTCCTATGATTTACAACCTGATTTCCCTGAAAAATTCCTTGAATTTGCGTCACCGTACCCGAAGAATTAATTACAAGTTCAGTCAAGTAACCAGTCTACATGTTGCCTTCTTTGAAAAGCGACAATAGCAATGACATGGTAGAGGACCCGCGTGGAAACCAGTTAAGGCTGAAGTGGCTTCCTCTCTAAGTATTGTAAATTATTAGGATACCAACAAGTTTCATTCTAGTTTCTGCAGGTGCATTGCACAACAAACAATTTGTTGGGAAAGTCAGCACCTGCCAGATGAAAAGAAAATGATGTCACAAATTAGCATATACCAAGCCAATGAACACATGATACATCTTGTGTGCTCTGAATCGTCTACCAAAGAGTGAATACCTACTCCAGCTACTATGTTCCAAACTGAAAGTCAAGTCATGTACAATGACAATGGCATTATACCGAGGTAGATACTGTTGGCTATTCACAGCTATGGTGCATATCAACATTTAAAATACTNGATGTGGCTTCCTCTCTAAGTATTGTAAATTATTAGGATACCAACAAGTTTCATTCTAGTTTCTGCAGGTGCATTGCACAACGGACAATTTGTTGGGAAACTCAGCACCTGCCAGACGAAAAGAAAACGATACCACACATTAGCATATACCAAGCCAGTGAACACATGATACATCTTGTGTGCTCTGAATCGTCTACCAAATAGTGAATATCTACTCCATTTACTAGTTTCCAAACTGAAAGTCAAGTCATGTACAATGACAATGGCATTATACCGAGGTAGATGCTGTTGGCTATTCACAGCTAGGTACATATCAACATTTAAAATACTAGCCCGAGTTTTCTGCATGTGCTTTTTCGACTATTCCCTCAAAAAAAAAAAATGTTTCCCAAATCGTTGTCTAGATATTTATTTGTTGTTCTAATATGAATCTACTGGCGTTCTCTCATTGGCTATGCTACTCAATGTCCATTCTGTTAAATGGTAAATAGTGAGTAGCCATTAGTAGTGTGTTTTGTCCTTGTCAATAATCACGCGATAGAAATCTGGAGGTCATAATCTCATTGCTAAATAGCTCACAAAAGGGCAACATCAGTTGTCTTGAAAGAAAAAAAATTCTAGGTTCTGGACTGCTATCCTCTATAGCATCAACTTAAGTTAAAAAATAGTCAATAAAACAGTTTTCTTAATTTCCTTACCTCATCTTTGGCATTTTTCTCTTTTTTATCTTCTGCATAAAGAGAATAATTTTTGAAACACAACAACTTTACTTACAGTCACCCTTTATTTCTGTATTGCCATTACAACTAGCAATATTTAAAATAGTCCAAAGACAGCTAATGGTTTTAACGATTGAATTGTCGGAGTGAGTAGAATTAAAACCTCAAGTTGATACCCTAGCTAATTTTACCAGTTACATTCATTTGGGGAAAACACTTTTAGCTGGCTCAAGAAACAAAATCGGTCAAGGTACAGTTTTAATTATACAATAAGTTTTAAGATAAGTTAATTTCAAGAAGGCATTGCTTCCTACTTGAAACTTTTGAATGTTCAAGTAAATAATGGATACTCACTCAACTGTAATCTCCACAAAACAAAAACAACAACAACAACAACAACAACAACAACAAAAAACCAACAAAAACAAAAAAATGAATTAAAACAATTCATATGTATTTCAAGGTAGTGTATAGTCAGTGCTGTAGGCTCAACTGCAAGTGCTCAAACTAATGCCAGAGTGTTGTTTTAATTTCTACACATTTCTCTCTTTTAATAGACCATGCCAAAAGTTGCTAGCAGCCCCCAGGCAGTAAAGAAGAATTATGTACAGTGAAAACAGATAAAACATTTCACAAAAAGTCATGCTTCCACATCACTGCCCTTACCTTCGTCTTTATTTTCCTCCTCTTCAGCTGCAGGTTGAATGCCTAGTTTAGCATCCTGTTCCGGTTGCCGAGTGTAATGTACAACAGTCATATGGGGATCCTGGTCTGGAGCCTGGGGATTTTCTATAAAGCTGTTGCCAGATGCATCATCAAGGACAAGAGTGAATTTCATCTCACTATTACGACACTTCGTCAGTTGTGATATAATAATGTCAATCTTAGCGGCATTATCAGGATCAATGATCTGTATTATAATAAAAAAAAAATTTAAAAAACTCAAGGCAGGTAATACAGTGTCAAACAACCCTGCAAAAAGCATATGCTAATCAATTCAGTTTACTCCAAGGCCCTAGTTTTTAGTGCTTAATGGAAGATGCTTATTGTGGCAGAGCACTCGTAACAGATGGAATATATCTCAAGTTCCAAAAACAGTTAGTGAACAGGCTATTATTTCTGAAGGAAACGATAAACAATAGCTATCTAGTGTTATAGACAAATAAGAATATAAAATGTTCCTTTAGTTACTCAAAGACAAACATGCAGCATTGTTTAAAGTGCATTGACCAAAAGCTGTCAATGTAGACTACAACTTTTGCCGTGATTCTGTTCTCATTCAGTCTGTGTATTAAAAACTGACGAAAAATGACACATCTTTTCTTGTCTAAGTTGCCCCTAAAATGTGTCAGATTGCATCTCCAGCCAGATAACTTTTGAAAATTTTTTGGCAGGCATGCCCCCTTACCCCCTAGAAGTTTGCATCCTTCGGACACCTGATTTGCAAGCACTGGCTACTTTAAATTTTTAGCTGACTACTTCTCAAAGTCTGTGGAGAACACTGAACACGTACATGTGGATATTTCATTTTTACTGCTGCATCTTTCAGCTAGACAACCTGAAGTTCAAAACCTGACTAATGATTACATTTTTGGCCGTTGTCGATCATATTTATAACAGCAACCAAAGACCCTTGGGAAGAAGAAACAAACAAAATACTAATAGTAGATGATAATCTACCAGTCATAACACATGGCCATGACCTTTTGAACCTGTTGAAGTAATTAAACTTCTCTTTCCTGAGAGGTCTGCTAACATGACTGATGATGGTGAAACATGAAATTATTGATTGTGCAGGAATCATGCATTATTGAAAGTTGCAGTAATAACCTAACCAGTTAATATCTCTTTTACTTCCCAGTTTTATATTTTTTTAATGGGGTTTAACACACAGAAGACTTGTCCTAATGGGTAATGTTTGGCAAGTAATGATGTAAGTGCTGAGTAGCCCAACAGTTAGGAGTATCAAACATGTTTGATTACAGTCCAAACGAACAAAATGTTTTGCAATGTTTGATCAAATGTTTTACGACTTTCAAACTTAATCAAACATGATCAAACAAGGTGTCCAAACAGAAAAATATTTGGTCACCAAACATTTCCCATATGGTCAGGTCTTAATTAAGTCCTCAGTATGCTTCTCTTCCTGCTACTCTTTGCACTGAAGTTTTCAGTGTTCCAGACCTTTTTCTTGCTCTGCATTTGGTTTCCACAGTTTGACTTCAGGCAAGTATATCCCCAGCTCAGAATCAAGATCTGGATCTCATGTTTGGTCAATAAATCTTACCATTATTTACAGTTGATGATAGGTTAATATTAAAAACCGTAATATTTGCTGAGTGTACCTTTCTGACAGGCTGATCTTGCCCCAAGCCAGCAATAGCACGTTCTAAGAGCCCTTCGATGGTGTTGAGTTCTGAAAGTAATTTTCAGACATACA